TCGCTCGCTGCTGTTGGGTGGGGGTGGGCCGCTGGGTGCGGGGGGAGCTGCGGGGCTGTCGTGCGGGACGGGCGAAGCCGGGGGCTCCCGGGGCGCCGGCCAAGTGCGGTGAGGAGCCGCCCGTCCAGCGCCACCAGTCCCCGCGGCGAGGGGAGCGGGGAGATGGTCTCGCTCCGCTTCCCCTCGCCGCCGGTCCCAGCGTCTGTCTTCTCCGCGGTCGCGTAATGGTATTTACAGCCATTGCAATAGCTTCAGTGGCCTCCTAATGGCGGGGGGGGCCTTGTGACCCGACCCGCCTTCCCCAGGCAGTCAGGACTCCTGCTTATTTTGTTCCTCCCTTGATGGTCTGTTTTCATCCCTGTCTGTACCCGTGGCTGAGCAGGAAGAGGAGGCAAATGTCATTTTGTGAGAGGACAGTTTAACATAAGGATTTCGTCAAACTTTGTGAGTAGTAGCCCTGTAGGACTTGCAGCCAACAACTCCTGTTTCCCCCTTCGTTTCAGTCCTAACCCTTTGTGCTTAGCTTTCCTCTCCGTTACTCCCTCTCTTCTTCCTTAGTCCTTTTCATATTTCATTTTAGTTCGGTTCAACAGCACAGCAGTCGCTAATTATTTTAATTGTGGTACTGTACTAAAGTTGGGCTCGTATTCTTGTCCTCTCTTGTTGTCCCATTGATGTCCTTTAAAATCTGAAGTGGAATTAAAGTTTACTAAATACAGGATGTTAGTTGGGCTTCATGTTTTTAAAAGAGCCCACAGTTGTGCTATATATTTGCAGCTTTAGCTGTTGAAAACAGATGGGCATTGTTGATGATGATCAGCTCATTAGATGTAGTTATCTGGAGACATGGCAGTCTGTTTTATGAGTTAAAGGTAATTTTAAAATTTGTATTTCAATTGACTCCTCTCCTTTTTATGCTTCTAGCTCTGTAGTGATATTTTAAGATTATATGTCCCCTTTCAAAAGTGCTTGCTTGTTTGTTAACAGCAGGGTAGCTAAGTATGTAAAAGGCAGAGTATAGATGCATCTGGTGAAGTGAAGCTCATGAAAGCTTATGCATCTCTGATTCAGTTAATCTACAAGGTGCTTCTTCATCCTGCCTTCTGCCTGACTTTAGAGTAACATAGCTACATTACCACTCTTTGCTTATAGTTATATTGACATGGCATAATGTAGTCTTATGTACAGACTCAAAAGTGAGCTTGGTAGTAATATAGCCATATGGGTACCTCTGGTGGTAATTAGCTCAGGATGTGCCATGATTAGGTGGTTATACTGTCTTTGATACTCAGGTTGACACATTCCAAGCTAACTCGGGTATCTCTGCATGGCACTACTTTGTGCTTTGGGGTTTTGCTTAAAGTATGAATTTATTTTATTTGATGGGGTGTGGGGAAGGGAGTGAAGGGAGCCACAGACAGCTTTATAGCTGTTGTCCTGATTTACTTAGGTGAAATTTCCCATGGGTGAGGGGTATTGTGTTGACCATGCATATCTGTGTAGTGGTATAGCTTTTTTTCCATTATATTTTTCAGAGTTCATTGTAAAAATATATTCCTTAAAGCATTGGGCACCTAGCCTTAGGAAGTTTGCACGTATCTTCCATACTCCGGCTGCTTGCGCTTTTTTTTTTTTTTTTGTAATATTTCCTCTTAAATACCTGCCTCTGACACTTGTATATTGTACTGCCCTCTAGAAAGTGCATAGTTTTGACTTTTGTTCTCTAAGCCAGGATTTCACTTTATGGAGCAGAAACATCTTGTACAGGCCAAAACATGATGGCTTTACCCCAGGGGTATCAAATGTACAGCCCACTTTCAGTTGGGGTGAGAACCTTCTTTCTGCTGCAGAACCTGGGGCCCTTGGGCTCCGGTGAACATAGTTATTGGCAGTAGAAAGGTAAGTGAGGGCTGATACAGCCCTTGTTGTTCTTCTGCTGCTTCTTTGCCTGTCTTCAGTGCTGCAACCCTACTTCCTTCTCTGCTGGGTCTGCCATTTCCTCTGCCTCAGGGAGATGAAGCTTCTGTTACCATGTGCTTCATGCTAGAACTGGGGTTGCTGCTGTGGCATGGGGCACTGGGCATGTGGCAAGAGCTGGAGCCACTGCATGTCTTGTGCCTGAACTGGAGGTATCAGAGCCAGAGTTACTGCTGCTATCACATGCCATGGGCTGATTTCCACCTGGGGTTTGTAGTAAGTGACACCTGTGCCTTACTAGAATGGTATAATTGAAATTAATAAGAGGACTCTAGCTCTACCTGTAAATTTAGATAGTGCTGAATACTTAATTTGCTGTTTTGTGGATTTTGCAGAAACTGCAAAATCCAGGGTTGTCTGTGAAATCAACAACAAATAAACTTAATAAAAATTAAATGCTTGCTCCCCAGTTGGAGCCAGCAATCCTCGCTGCTGGGAAGGCAAGGTGCCAGCTGGCAGGGTGGCATGAAGGGCAGTAGACAAGATGGCAGCTGCCCCCTTGTCCTTCCTCCTGGCTGGAGCCTCTTTGCCAGTTGGTGCCAAGGGGACCACACAAAGGGCAGCCAGCAGTCAAAGGCAGCTGCCCCCTTGTTTCTTCTCCCCTCCATCCTGCACCCCTTTCCTTGGGCCTCTCCACCAATTGGCACCAAGGTGCAGGGCTGCCTCTAAATGTGTAGAATTAAAATTTTTTGCTGCGATCAATCTGTGAAAATTGATAAGTTCCCCCCGCAGTTTAGGTAGATCGCTATGTATACCGGATGATGTGGATTTCATATGATATAATATATCCTATTATTTATATTATATAACCGCAAGAATTTGCCTTATACAATATAACTAACTTTCCATATTTGTGTGGCACTTTCATACAACTGTCGGAGTTAAATTTTTGCTCCAGAACACAGACTGGGGACATCTGTAAGGATGCATTTTTGTGTGTTGAGGAGCAGATTCCCCTTTTTTTAAGGTCTTATGACCAATTGGGATACAGAGCTTGACCCACTTATGAGGTGCTTAGGTTGTTTGGACTTGTAAACATTTTCAAGTTGGGGGTTTGATACAAGCTTTTTTTTGGTTTTGTCCATGAAAGAGTGAGATGCTAACCCTTAGAACAGGCGGTCTTAACTTTCTGTGCTGTTTTGTTTGGAAACCTAGATTGAATAAATTGTTCAGACTTTTTTTTTTTTTTTAAACTACTCTTCAATGTAGAAGTACAAATACACATTTTATAGTCTAATGTTTTGCTGTCTTTCAGTTATAGTTTGCCCGTGTGTTATATCTTGCACAAATAAACGCTGTGCCGCAGTGCTGCTAAACTTGCTGTTAGTTTACTACTACATTGTTTACCTAAAATGTATGGATTTTTTTCCCTCAAGTTGTTTAGTTTTCAGCCTGATTTTTCTCTCTTTTTTTTCCCCCCTCTCTCTCTCTCTCTCTCATTTCAAAGCCACGAGAATGAAAGAACAAAATACCTGACAACTGTTTAGAAACTTTTCATAGTTTATTTTTTGTACTCCACCATTAAGAAACCCAGTTAGACTTTTTTCCCCAGCATAGTTTTATTAAATGTGCGGTTTTGCTTAAGTGGCAGTCTTGCTAAATTTTGATATAATATTTGGTGGTAGCATTAATACTAATTTTTTATTTACTGGTATTCATTGGTATAACTTGAAGCTTTAAATATTAATAAATTGGACTATTTCTTCCATTGAGAAACATAATACTGCTAAACTCTGCTTTTGTATAGACTAATTCATGTTGTGAAGATATCATCTTCAGTGAACTTGACTTAATAACTTGTCTTTGAATGGGCTAGATGTGTGTGAAATATTTGCTTGTTTTTAATAAGAATTCTATTAACAAAATTGTTTCTGAAATGAATTTCAAACAGTTTTATATGTGACTTTCTGTGTTGGGTTTCTTAATGATGGAATACAAAAAAAATAAACGAGAAGTGCTACAGATGCATGATACATTCCAAAAGCATTGAGACTCCACAGACTCTCAAAATCAGTTATCTGTTTCACTTTTCATTTTTGCTCTGTAAATCTATAGTAACTTGACAGTTTTTTGTTGTGGTTTTTTTTTTTTGCAGGGGATGGTAATAGTTAGAGATGAGAGATTCTCTTCTGTAGCTGCATACTCCTTGCTCTCACAGGGTTTCCTTTATAGAGAGAGCAGGTTTGGGGTCTACTACCTGCTTCTTGTACTGAGCTCTTCATTGTCAGTCCTCCGTTATCTTTAGCAGGGCTCCAGGCAGACGTAAATAAGTGCCAGTTCAGAGCTTGGTGTAAGATCTGAGTATAAGATAAACTTTCATAAGATGCATGTCATCCTGCAAGCTTGCAGTAAAGATGTACCACAAGACAAAGGATGTGGTATGAGAATCGGAACAGAATGCGGTGCCTTTGGCTGTATTTATAAAATGGGGGCCTGATCTTGCCAGCACTCTAGTGCTGTGGTGCTCAAATGTTTAGCCCTGGGAGCCAGATGAATGGCATGGGGCTGGGCTTTGGGCTGGATTGAGCCCTGGATCGCCCCACCCAGCTCTGCTGCCCTGTACATGTGATCCAGCATGCAGGTTTGTGCTACCTGGCAGGGTGGATTTGATTTAAATCAAATCAATTTAAAGCACTGGTCAGGAAGCCTCAATTTTAATCATTGTTTTCTACAGAAGTGCATTCTTGTTGTTTGATATCCTTTATTCATTTAACCTCTTGAAACTTTGCACTTTCAGAGGACGGTTTGACTCTGTACACAAACTTGGAGAGACAAGAGGGCTGATGAGTAGGTAATTACTCAGGACTGTTCTGTCTCATCTCCATATACTGCTGTTAACAAGGATGTTTATCTCTGGAGACAAAATTAAAGAAGACCACTCTACCCAGTAGGACTCAGTGCAGAAGATCCCGTTAAGCATCTCTGCGATGCTTAGTTTCAGTTCTCAAACTGTGGATTTAACTTGTCTATAGAGGAGTCTCTGGGAACCCCATAAGATTGGGCCTCTAATATAGTCTATGGCCTGTTGTGACCTATTTATAAGACCTCTCTGAAAAGGTTGCATGACTATATTGTCTCAGTATATAATTTGAAGTTGTAATCCCTATTCCATGATGATATCTTTGAACATTAACATAATTTAAATTTAAAACTATAGGTTGTTTTTTTTCTTTTTTTAAAAGAGCATCTCTTTAAAAAAAAATGTTGATTTTTATTTTTTTTTTTCTCCTCCTCCTTGCTATCCACCCCACAGGGCTTGCAATGCATCTGGAAATTTGAGCAGGGGATTGGACTAGGTGATCTCCTTGAGGTGTCCCTTCCAACCCTCACCTTCTCTGATTCTACGAATGCATACCTGTTAATATCCTGTGGTTTTGCTATCCTGCTGCTTCCTTAAACCTTTATTTTTATTAAAATGTTCATTTGGTCAAATCCTTGACCAGCTTGATCTTGTCTGTGATTTTAATGCTGTTGGTTTTGGTTAATTCTTGCTAAATGTGGGGTAGCATTCAAAAGTACGTTGCTTGTAGTCGTATAGGCATGTAGACTGCCAGGATTGGAAAG